CAGCAGTAAGGACCACTAATAGAAATATTTTGGGACCAGCAAGAAATTAAACAATGGAAATATTTTTATTTTTGTCTGTTGAATGTCTTTTTTAGTAACTGGTTTGTTTAACTGTTAAAATGAGCTAAAAATTTYTATTAGTATTTGTAGTACAGGGATTGCCAATAACTTGTCAGTATGGGACTTACCATTACTAGTAATAGCTCTATTACCTGTTACATGTATGGTATGATAACAGATATTTTAGTCATAGTAGTACCATCCATAAAAAGAAGAAGTAACATCATATTAGAACAACGAAGTCCAAAGTCCAAACTTGTGCACCACCAGAACCAGCTGCATCTATGGATATTTGATGTTCTCTGGATCAAGTTGTTGATTTTTGTGTTGCATTGGGCATATTCTAGTACAAGACCTCTACAAAGTTAGTAGTTGTATCTAGTATTAGTGGGATGAACTCCAGTAATATATTAAATATGTCAAAACGTCAAGTGGAACTAATGCTTCTGGTTGACAAAGGTTGGTGTGAGGTATGCGTTGGCTGCAAGCTCTTTACTAATTACATTAAACTTCTTGTAACAAACAGTGTAAGTGGTTGGGAATGAGTGTCAATAATGTTTTTCTTCCTACTGCTAGGAAGTCACTGTAAAGAGTGTCTCACAGTCTCACTTTGATTTGTAGAAGAATACCTAAGCATGAACTGGTTCAATCCTAAGATCTGGTTCACCCCCACCAATAAGCATGCCAATGGTGAGAACAAGGGTGCATCAGATGATTCATCCATTGTCTCCTTGGCTTCAGCTGTGTCTGAGTCTACCATCTCTCACTCTCTTATGGTTCTTTGGTAAATTAGTGACCATGTCATCTCTGCAGGTGAAAAAAATTTGGGAGTCCACTGAGCTTGAGCTCATTCAGGAGGACAACATTACAAATCTTCTGTTGCTATTCTTCTTGTATCTTGGCCACAAACTCATACAGAAGTCACTAAAGAGCTTTTTGTTATGCCAAGGTCCCAAGAATTTTTGCCAGATCACTAATCCTCTTAAAGCCAATGTGGCCAAGATCAAAGCTGATCCTCTGTTSGACCAAGAGACCAAACTTGAAGCCTGYATTGACAATGGATCTCATCTTGGWTTGAAGAAATGCAAGCCTGATCTGCAGCAGCCCCATAMAGTCTGTGGCCCAAATCCATATCAGAAATATATCAAAGAAAGTCAAAAAGTCATTCAACAGTGTGTGGTTGTGCTTAATCAACAATAATCCCTCATTGTTGCGGAAGACCACACAGAAAACTTGAGAAAGAGAAGTAAAAAAGTTGATATTCCGTTAGTGCCATGATTATTCAAAGCTGATTGTCATGAAAGATCATCTTCATACCGTACAGTATTGTCAGGGCCTTCCAGAACCCACACACACACATCCCCTTTTAAAAATCCAACATTGAGGGCATGTTTTCATGGGTTATTTCCCCATGCATTAACCCACGATTCTAAAATGTGGGTTATTTTTCCCATGCATTAACCCACGATTCTAATATGTGGGTTATTTTTCACCAAAAATAACCCAGGTTTTGAAACATGGGTTCCTGGGTTAACCCACGAATAACCCACAAATCTGCTGGTCCTATTTTTGAACACCAAAAAACATTGATTAATTACTAGTACTAGTACTAGTAACATTAATGACGACTAAAATACTTGTTAATGTCCTTG